AGATGTAATATCCGTGTACTACAGGGATCGATTGAACAAAAAGTTAAATATCAAAATGTAAATTTTAAGCATTTTCTAAAGTAAATTAAATGAATAAATGATAATTTCGTTAGTCCCATATAATAAGATTTCTCATCCATTATGTCAAACCAACAAATATTTGGTAAAAAGGATAAATAAGAGAGCCAAAATATTTCATTCATTATATCAATCTATTATTTCTATGTCAACCTATATATATGAAAAAGAACATTAACGATTTGTCGGATGGTAATGCCAAACTCTTTAAGCCTATCGATATTAAAACAAAATTTTGGTTACTTTTGTAAAAAGAAAACGGATATTAGTAGGGGTGTTCGTTTGAATGGATCGGTTTGATCCGATCCAATTAAGTGAATCGAAATTGATTTCGGTTTTCAAAACATGGATCCGAATAATCCAAATTAAATTCAAATCCGATCCGATCCAATCCAATTACAATTCGGTTGGATCGGTTTTTATAATTCGGTTTTCAAAACAGTTTTAAACGACATATAATTATAATATTACCTAATTTTACACAAGAAACAAAAACATATTTTTTTGTTGTGATTTGATATTTATAAACAACTACTAAAAAGATATATTATAGTTAAATATTTTATAGATAGATAACTTTTGAGAGAAAATGCATATTAATGTTTTTTTATCGGGTGAAACGTTTTGAACCTATTTGAAAAAATAAATTACAAAATTAATAAATAACTATTGTTATATATTATAAATATAATAATAAATGTTTATTCGGTTTTTTTGAACTATTCGGTTCTTATTTTATAAACCAAAACCAATCCGAAATCCAAAATAATAATTCGGTTTTGTTGAAACCAAACCAAAAATCTGAATATCCGAACCAAATAATCTAATCCAAATTGTCCAATTGGACAATTTGGTTTTATCCAAATAGTGAACATCCCTAGATATTAATTTTAAATAAACATTAAAATTGCAATTAGAAGTCAAATAAAATAGGATTTCAATTCTAGATGATTCAAGCCTTATTTACGCAGATTTATAGTTTTCTTACAAATTATAAATACAACATTTCAAAATATGTATCATACTCTCCATATTGTCATTCAAAAATCCAATTTAACTTGAAATTCTATTATTTTGTTGATTTTCAGATTTAAAAACTCTTGTATATAAAATATTCTTAATTTTGATCCCACGAAAATATAACTGGAAAATTATGTTAGAAAAATGACATCACATATCATAAAAAATAAAATGGTCCATAAAGATTTTCCGGTTAACAAAAAAAATTCCAACTTTTTATATATTTTATTTTTGCTTTTGTAAATTGTCAAGGTTTTCCAATTAAAATATAATAAAGTATAACTTAAACTCAAATCTCCCCACCTCTTCGCGCGACAACACTACACACGAACACCGTTGATTTAATTTGCATAAAATTACACTAAAATGAAACACACTTTACTATCGCTAGCATTACAAACAATATATTATATCATATAACCATAATACCAACATACTTAAGTAATAAATTAGATTCTATTACCTAAAATTCATAAAATATATACAATTCATCAAAATTTCTCAATAGTAAAAACATGTCCAAAAGATATGGTAATTTATGTGATATACAAATAAATATTGGCAAACATCTTATAGAATATGTGGATTAATCTAAAGTTACGCTCAACATTTGTGTGCTAAGCTTCATTATATGTATTTGTTTGGAGTTTGGTTTCGTCACCCTCTTCATCTGTAGAAATTTAATTTAAATTATAAATTAATGTTAGAAAGTAATAACTTGAGAAACAAATGATTATATGCTTCTTTATTGTCCAGGTTTAAAATGCTATGAAAATTGGTTTAAGATGTTGTAAAATTTGTTTAAAATGCTGTCAAAAACTGGTTTAAAATTCTTAACATAAAAAACTGCTTAAAATGATGTCAAAATTGGTTCAAAATGTTGTCAAAACATGATTACAAAGCTGTCAAAAATTGCTTTAGAATGCTGTTAAAAACTAAAATTTTAATACTGTTATAAACGGTTTAAAGAGCTGTGAAAACTTGAATTTTAATGTTGTAAAAAAAAGGTTTCAAATGTTGTAAAAAATGCTTTAATTGTTGATAAAATGGAATTTTAATGTTGTGAAAACATGATTAAATTGTTGTGAAGAAAAAATAAATATTCTAAATCATCGATTGAAGATGGTGACAAATGTTTGCTTAATCATCTACAAAACTCACACCTTAAATCTTAAAAAAATTAAAAAATAAATAAATAAAAAAAGTGGCAGATCTCCATAATGAAGCTTTGTGCATCAGTGTTCTTGCTGTCATACTTGCACTAATGATCCAGAAATTCTTACCTTTGGTCTTTCACCAAAAAACCCATTTTACCAACCATTGAGCAACTATTTAAAACAATCAACCCAATAAAACATTAGTGAAAGCAATAAAAAACATTAAAATATTAACTCCATTCTTCATAACCACACTCAGTCCATGGTACATCATAACAAATTTAATCCTCCAATGTCCGGTAGTTCTAATAAAAACAACCAAATTCCGAGTACATACATTAAAATTTTAGTGATCATGGATGAGATAATGGATATAAATTATTTTTCATAGCAGTCATATATTGAGTACTGAGTAGTCTATTTCCCACAGATGATATCGAATATAAAAAAGAATAGTCAATACAAATCTGTTATGATCAACTCCAAATCGAAATCAAATATTAATACATCAAAAGATGCCTTAGTTGAAAATAAATTTCATGTAAAATTCTCTAATTTTTTGTTTTCTAAACACTATTATACAAAAGAATTTCTCTTTAACATTTTATCGAACACCTTTAGGGCATTCCCTAAATCATCACCTTCAACATATCATCACCAGAAAATAATCATATTAAATACACTAACATCAAATCCATTAGAAATTATGCTTGAATAGAATAATCATAATCCCTATAAAATGTCAGCTAACTGATTAGGCTTAAATTACCTCAAAGTATTAAACACAAGCTT